TGTTTCAAAACAATCCCACTTCTGTTTAACATTAATTCAAGTTTACCTCAGTCTCAATAAATTAGTGACCACTATCCACTAGCTGACAAATTCATGCTAGTGAATGAATATTTTTGGTCCAGTTCCATTTTGACCGGTTTCGACAACATCCAAATCTGAGTATCAGCAGCAACTATGTTGGGAGAAATCGTGATTATGGGGCAAAATTTATGCTTTTATCTGTCACGTCAGTACTTGCAGTGGCACAGCGGTGCAGCACTGAGGGAGTGCCACATTGTCAGAGCTGCTGTCTTTTATTTGAAAATTTGGAGCATTGACCGCCTCAGATTAACATATCAGTTCCTGGTATTATTTCAGAATAGAGCACATGAGTTATTCAGACAGACTTAGTTATCATTTATTCCTCAGGTCAAATTCATGTGATCTGCAATGCACAAATTGGCTGTCTTAATTGTCACATTACTACAAGTGGCTTCACTTTAATATACTCAGAGCTTCCAGGCTGAAAGGTGACCTTGTAGAGGTTTATAAAATCATGAGAGGCATAGATAGGGTCTTTTTTCAAGAATAAGGTCAAGGTCTTTTTCTTTCAAGAGTAGGGGAGTCCAAAACTAGAGGTCATAGGTTTAAGATGAGAGGGGAATGATTTAAAAGGGACCTCAGGGGCAATATTTTCACACAGAGGGTGATGCCTGTATGGCATGAGCTGCCAAAGGAGGTGGGTACAATTGCAATAATTTAAAATACATTTTGACAGGTACATGAACAGAAGGTTTTAGACGGATATGGACCAAATGCAGACAAATGTGCAAAGGTGCAGTTTAGGAACCCTAGACGTCATGGACGAGTTGGGCTGTTTCCATACTGTATGAATCTATGACTCAGCTGTAGAGGGGAAGAGGAAGAGCAATAGTTATAGGAGTTTCCATCGTCAGGGATCAGATACGTATTTCTGTGGGGGCTGTTTTCTTGAGCAGTATGTGCTCAAGAGGACATGCTATTTTATATCTAGTATTATGTCATGAAAAAGAGTTAATTAACAGTCCTGATGTAGAAGAACCTTTAGGGCTGAATGACCATATTAAGATAGAATTTTACATTGTGTTTGAAATTTTTGGTAGTTCATTCTGAAGTAAAGGTATTAAATTTGAGTAAGGCAAGTTATGAAGGCATGTGATATAAATTGGTTGATGTGGATTACAAGATACATTAAATGGCATGATTGTACTTAGACAATGAATAGCCTTTTAAGAACTTGTAAAATTATACCTTTCTTCAAGGTGCTAAAACTCAAAAAAAAGTCAAGTCAACCATGGCTAACAAAGGAAGTTCAGGATTGCATAAGATTGAAAGAGAAGGCCTATAATATTGCCAGATATGTACCAGTAATTCTAACAATTGGAAGGTTTATAAAATACATCAAAGGAGGACGAAGAAATTGATCCGAAAAAGGAGAATAGAATATGAATTGAATCTAGCAAGACATTAAAACAGACTGTGAAGTTTCTATAGGTCTGTAAAAGGGGAATGTTTGGCTACAATAGATGTTGGCACATTAAAGGCAGAGTCAGGAGAATTTACAAAGGTGAATAGAGAAACGGCACAGAAGCTAAACAATTACTATGTGTCTGTTTTCACTGAAGAAAATACAAGAAATCTCTGAGAAGGTAGGCTAAGGAGAATGAGGACTTGAAAGAGATTAGCATTAGTAAGAAAGTGGTGCTAGAGAGTTATTGAATTCCCAGGACCTGGGATCTATCCCAGGATACTGAGGGAGGCAAGGGAAGAGATTGCTGGGGCCTTGACAGAGATCTTTGTTTCTTCTTTAGTCACAGGAGAGGTCCAGAAGACTGGAGAATAGCCAGTGTTGTGCCTTTGTTTAAGAATGGTAACAGAGATAATATAGCAAATTATAGATCAGTGAGGTATACATCAGTGAAAGGGAAATTATTGGAGAAAATTAGTAGGCAGGGCTTTACTCAAATTCAGAAAAGAATGGACTTATTAGGGATTGTCAGCGTGGCTTTGTGCAGGGAAGAACTTGGTCTCACAAACTTGATTGAGTTGTTCAAGGAAATGACAAAGATAATTGATGAGTATAAGGCACTAGATCTTGTCTACATGGACTTTACTGAAGCATTCGATAAGGCCCTTCATGGTTGGCTGATCCAGAGGATGAAGTCACATGGGATCCACTATGAGTTGGTAAGTTGGATACACATTGCTTGGTCATAGAAGACAGAGGGTAGTCATGGAAGGGTGTTTTTCTGACTGGAGGTGTGTAACCCATGGTGTCCCACAAAGATCAGTGTTGGGATCGCTGTTGTTTGTAATGTATATATAAATGATTTTGATGAAAGTGTAGGTGATCTGATTTGTAAGTTTGCAGGTCACAGAAAAATTGGAGGAGTTATGGATAGTGAGGAAGGTTGTCAAAAGGTACAGCAGGATATAGATTGGTTGGAAATTTGGACAGAGAAATGGCAGATAGAGTTTAATCCAGACAAGTGTGAAGTAATGCATTTTGGGAAATCAAATGAAAGTGGAAAGTATATAGTAAATGGCAGTAAATAGTGGTTATTAGTTTAAAAAAAAGGTAGTGATTTGGTGCTGAGGAAGTCATTGGGTTGTATGCGATAGCACTTCCAAATATAAAAAAATCAGACTAGGGCCACTTATAGCGCAGTGGTAGTGTTCCTACATCTAGATCAGGGGGCCCTGGTTCAAATCCCTTTTATTCCAGAGATACGCAATAACATCTCTGAACAGGTTGATTAAGAACATAAATAAAGTAGAAACAGGGATACATCTGCAGAACTGCCTGTCTCATGCTAGCTCTAGCCTAGGTGTGCCCTGAGTAATGCCTCTATTTTGGTTTTTGACAATAAATTATCTGCCTTTTCAAACTAACTTCCTGCATTATTTACAAGAGGGATCTTGGGGTGCAAGACCATAACTCCTTGAAAGTGGCAACACAAGTGGATAAAGTGATAAAGAAGGCATATGGCATGTATGTCTTCATCAGTTGGGATATTGAGTATAAAAGTTGTCAAGTCATGTTGACTCTGCATAAAACTTCAGGTAGGCTACCTTTGGAGTACTGTGTAGTTATGGTCAGCACACTGCAGGAAGTATGTGGAAGCTTTGGAGAGGATGCAAAAGAGATTTAACAGGATGTTTCAGAGATAGTAGGAACTGCAGATGCTGGAGAATCTGAGATAACAAGGTGTAGAGCTGGATGAACACAGCAGGCCAAGCAGCATCAGAGGAGCAGGAAGGCTGACGTTTCGGGCCTAGACCCTTCTTCAGAAGGGTCT